CGTGATGGAATTCAAGCGTGATAGTGTGATTTCTTAATATTTGGCTGGAAAACCACAAGTGGCTATCGTTAGAGCACTCCAGCATTTAAATGTGAATAAATCTTTTGTGTCTTGTACCATCGCTTGTAACCGTGATACTGGTAGCGTAGCACAGCGTCAAGGAAGTGGGCGGAAGAAAAAAGCAACATCAGCAGAAATGGTGCGAAAAATAAAGAAGCGATTTGATCGAAAACCGCGTCGCAGAGGCCGAAAAATGGCTCGTGAGCTGAACATATTGCAATATTCCATTCGGCAAATATTGAAAAATGAACTCGGGGTAAAGCCATTGAAATTCCAAAAAGTGCAAAAACTTACATCGCAACAGAAAGAACAGAAAATAGTCTCAAAAGAGCTAAAGAGTTGCTTCGCTTGGCCGAAAGTGGTGTTCTGCCGAATTTAGTTTTCTCCGATGAGAAAACATTCGTTGTCCAGCAGTTTGTAAACGAACAAATTGATCGTCTTTACTTGCCAAAGAGGTCAGCTGAAAATGATGACCACCAGAAATCAAGCGCCGGCCATGGTGATGGTGTGGGCCGCCATAACAGCTGATGGTCCATCTCCGCTCGTATTAATCGACCATGGCATCAGAATAAATGCCGAATATTATCGCGAAAATATTCTGGACAGTGTATTAAAGCCTTGAGCACGCAAACACTTTGGTCGCATACCTTGGACATTCCAACAGGACTCAGCACCATCGCATTCAGCACGCGCCACCCAAGAATGGTTACAAAATGAGGTTTCTCGCTTCATTTTCACCGCACAATGGCCACCAAAATCTCCAGATACCAATCTGTGGGACTATTGTGTCTGGAGGTGGCAAGGTTGGCACTAAAAAATACCAAAGTGTCGATCACCTCAAGCAAGCGCTTCGCCAGGAATGGGCCAAAATACCGCAGAGCAACATTCGGGCAGCGTGTGGCCGGTTTTATTGGCCGTTTGAAGGTCATAATTCGTGCCAAAGGTGATCAATTCTGACAAATCTAAACTCATTCTAAAATTTGATGCGATTTCCGTTTTTTTTTTTTCCTTTTTTTTAAAATTAAAAAAAAATTAAGAAAAATATAAAAATTATGCGTTTGACTTTGTTGCAGTTTTTTGTTATCTTATCCTGTATTTCGAGTATAAAAACACGGTGTAAATGCCTCTAGGCATAATTGTAAAATTTGAAGCATATTTTTAGGCGAACATCAAATGGGCAAATTAATTGGAATGATTGTGTTGCCGCAGCAAATTATAAGGCTTGAAAATTGAATTTAAAATAAAACTTGTGGTAATTTGGACTTTTTGACTCATGTATTTTATATGTATTAGTAAATATATTTCATTTTTTCTTATAGATTTCTTTCGAACTTAGAAAAAAACAATTAAAAATAGATAATCTAAAATGTTTGTTTTATTAGCTTTTGTGTTGTTTCTTTTTGTTTGTTTTCATTTTGAGATTTTAATATCAAGCACTTTTTGTGGTACAGTTTTATTCCTCTTTTTTAGTTTTGGATTTGGTTTTTGCCTTTCTTTCCTTGCTTTCTTTCGAGGGAGTTTGTTTGTTTTTCTATTTATTAATTAATTTATTTATTTATATAGAACTAGACTTTTGTTATATAAGTAATAATACCAAATAATAATAGCACTACAAAAATTGTTGGTTTTCATTTCGAAATTTAATTTTAATAAGTATTTGTTCTTTTTTTTGTCGAATAATAATTGTTCCTTGTTGTTCTGGTTGTATATTTATAAATTGTATATAATTTATTGTAACATTTTATTATTATTATTAATAAATTTTTTTATACTTTTATATTATTAATAGTATTAGTTTTAAGCATAAATATATTTATATATAGATAAAAATCAAGTATTTAAATAATATTATGATATAAGCAATAATTACAAAAAAGTATATATGTATATAGTAGTTTAAAAACAAAAAAAAACGTTAATTTTTTATATAGTATATTTATATATATATATGCATGTATATAGCAATAATTTAAGCATTAAAAGTAGTATTTGAAAATTATTTGATAAAGTTTGCTTGCATGCGTTTTGTTTTTTGAAACAATATTTAAAAAAATTATTTTAAATAAAATTTTATAGGGGAAGGGGGAATTTTTGCGGATGGAATTTGGAGGATATACGGAAGAAGTATTATAAATAACGAGTTATAACGAAATTAAGATCATGTAACATCATGAGAAGTGCTTCACATTAAATCTGCCCAAGTTTTGTTTTTCGTGAGCCTCTGTCATTGAGGCCCTGTGTTTTTCATGGAATTAGGAGAATATGTCGGGATCTTCTTTGCACAACCTAAATGATTTGAAATAAATTTAATAGAAGTATTTTTATGCTTTATTTGATTGCATGATACAAAATAGTGGTAATATGGGATCTTCATCCAGATGCTTGGACAGAAAAAAAGTCAACTGCGAAAAAATTCTAATTTGGACAAAAACAAGGACAAATATGGAGATGGAGTTTTATGATCCTGATGCATATTTAAAATTTTGACCCTCTGTGGGAGAGGTACCAGAAGGAGTAGACCAATATATCCCATTTTCACAGCAGATCTTGTGTTAGTAGAAATAATGGGATGTTTGAAATCTGAAGAGAACCGGATGCTTATTTCGATTTATATAATCGTTTGGATATGCAAAACTTTGATCCTTTGTGGGGGAGGTACCAGAAGGAATGGGACGATCTCTGCAATCTTTATAACAGATCTTGTGCTGATGGAAATATTGAGATGTAGCAAGTCTGAATACAATCGGATCTTAACGTCGCGGTTTATGAGCTTCATGACTTTTTAAAATTTTGACCCTCTGTGGGGAAGGTACCAGAAGGATTGGACCAATATATCCCATTTTCACAGCATACTTTGTGTTAGTAGAAATAATACTATGTGTGAAATATAAAGAGAACCAGATGCTTATTTCGGATTTTATGATCATTTTATTTATTCGAAACTCTTACCCTTTGTGGGGGAGGTACCAGAAGAAATGGACCGATCTTTACCATCTTTATAACAGATCTTGTGTTGATGGAAATATTGAAATGTGCCAAGTCTGAATGGAATCGGATGTTAATTTCGTATTTTATGAGCTTAATGGATACTCAAAATGTTGACCCTCTGTGGGGGAGGTACCAGAAGGAATGGTCCGAACTCTACCATCTTTATAACAGATCTAGTGTTGATGGAAATATTGAGATGTAGCAAGTCTGAATGGAATCGGATGTTACATTCGTGTTTTATGAGCTTCGTGGATATTCAAAATGTTGACCCTTTGTGGGGGAGGTACCAGAAGGAGTGGGCCAATATATACCATCTTCACAGCAGATCTTGTGTTAGTAGAAATAATAGGACGTGTGAAATATGAATAGAATCGGAGCCTTACATCACATTTTATAAGAGCTATTATTATTCAAAATGTTAACCCTTTGTGGGGGAGCTATTTGATGGAGTGGACTGATATTGTCCATTTTCACACCTGACCTAGCACTGTTGCAAATATTGGGATTTGCAAAGTTGGGGCAAAATCGGATTATCGTTTCTCTTTCTGTGCAGAAAATATATATTTTTTGAAATATTCCAACATTTGTGGGGGAGGTACCTGAAGGAGTGGACCGATATACTCCATCTTAACACCTAACCTTGAGCCAATAAAATTATTGGTATGTGTGAAAATTGAAGACGATCGGACTCTTTATAAAAATAATTTTTCAAAATATTGATCCTTTGTTGGGGAGGTGGACTTGAACTTGGAGTGGACCGATATTGTCCATTTTTCGCACCTGACCTAGCACTGACGCAAATATTAGGATTTGCAAAGTTGGCGCAAAGTCAGAATATCGTTTCTCTTACTGTGTAGAAAATATATATTTTTGAAAATTTCGAGGTACCAGAAGCAGTTGACCGATATATTCCATCTTCACACCAGATCTTGGGTTAATAAAAATATTTTGATTTGTGTAATTTGAAGACGATCGGAGACTTACATCACATTTTATATGAGTTATAATTATTCAAAATTTTGACCCTTTGTGGGGGAGGTACTAGATGGAGTGGACCGATATGGTCGATTTTCGCACCCGACCTAGCACTGATGCAAATATTAAGATTTGCAAAGTTGCAGCAAAATCGGATTATCCTTTCTGTTTGTGTGGACAATTTTTTTTTTTTTTTTGAAAATTTCGACCTTTTGTTGGTGAGGTACCAGAAGGAGTGGACCGATATTGTTCATCTCCGAACTCGATCTAAGTTTGGTATTAAAATTACGATGTACCTAGTTTGGACAAAATCAGATACCACCTTCTACAGTTATCATGCGCACTAACTAGCCAGCCAATCAGACGGACGGATGGACAGACAGACATCGCTAGATCGACTCCAAATGTCCTGAAACGGATTTGATCCAAAGAGATCTACGGTCTAAAATCATTATTTTGAAGAGGCACGTTTTGGCCGTAGCAAATGATATATACCCTCTCTAGCCATATGCGCGGGGGTATAATAACCAATCTGTTCTTTGATTTGAATATCTAGTATGAAACAATGAATATTTCAAAGGCTTCTAAATGTTTCCATGTCAGATTTAGGAGAGATAGTATAACTGACTTGAGAAGTGTCTCAGAAAAAAATGGTGGCAGGATTTTACACACAAAATGGCTTCAGAATATCCAGTATATAAAACATGATTTGAACTTAAAGCAACTAAAGGACAATTAACAATAAAACCAAAAAAAAAAAAAAAATAATAAAAAATGTTTTTTTTTTTTTTTGGAATTTGAAATGCGTGAACTTAATAACAATGTTGAAACAAACAATAAAAAAGAGCTTAAATAAGTAACAGCTATAAAAAAAAACATTTTAAAACCAAAAAACAAAACAAAATAAAATTCCATCCGCATTAAAAAAAAATCAGTCCCAAATTTCTTTTAAATCAGTTGGCAGCAAAAAAAAAGTGTTTTTTTTTTTTTGGAATATTAGATTAGCAAAATAAGATTCTTAATTTAGTTTTAAATGGGGGGAGGATATTGTAAAAATTACTTTTTGTGTGTAAGTGTTTTGAGTTAAATTTTTCACGGCTGTCTGTTTTTTGTGTTAATAAAATTCCTTTCTCTTTTTCTTCATTTTTAATTGTTCTGCATAAATTTTGTTATTGTTGTTTTCCTTCTTTTTTTCTCAAATAGTTTCTAAACATGCATGTACAACACATTTGGTACAGGATATATCTATCTTTTGCTTGTATCCGAGTATTGTTTCTTTTGTGTGTGTTTTTGTTTTGTTTTTTCTTTTTTGTTGCATTTCTAAATACTTTGGTTTCAATTTTAGCTCAGTTTATAATTTTTTCATGTGATTTTCCCTGTTTTTTTCTCATGAAAAATCATTTTCATTAGTGTTTTTATAAAATTTTAACAGTATTTACACTAAATTGGCCACATGGGACGTATCCATGTGTTGTATTAATGTGCGCATAAATGACATCTCCTTGCGGGCATTCTCCAATATCACCTTCGGATCATCGGATGTACAGCGTAAACAGTTGGGTGCAAAGACCATGGCCAAATTGGAGGAATCCATTTTGGTGGCACTCACCACATCGGGATGGGAAAATTGTTGCAGGAAATGTATTAAATAGGTTAGGACCTGGAAGGAGAGAAAGGAAGAAAAAGTCAAAATATATTAAAATTCAAATCGAAAAGAAGTCTAAAATTTTGAAGCCATATTTTAAAAATTGTTTAATAAATATTTTCAAGTTTATTTAACGGTTTTTTATTTATAGAAATTCAGTCAGAAAATCAGACAAAGAAAGATAATTTTCAAAAGGGGTGAAAACATTTTAAGAGGTTGTCTTTGGATTATCGAACTTTCAATATTCCAGAATGGAAGACGGTTCAACAGATTAAAGATTTCGCTTTTTTTTTAATTTTTTTGAATATCGAATAAACGTGAAAATATGTAAAAAAATATGTTTTCAAGGACCAAATAATAATTTTTTAAGGCACAAAAAACTTGGACTTTTTTACAGAATATTTTTTTAAGGCCCAAAAAACTTGGACTTTTCAAAACATATATTTTTAAGACAATAAAAAATGGGTTTTTTAAGGATTATTTTGTAAGGACGTGGATTTTTAAATATAATATCCTGCAAAATGTCTTCAGGGGATGGAACCTTTAAAATTTTGCCTTGAAAGAAATTTATTCTAGAAAAATCTTTGAGCAGATCCTCTAGAAAAATTTTTCAACAGGTTTCCTATAGAGGCACTTTTTAACAAGCCCTCCATGTAGATGAACTTCAATAGAGGTACTGTGAAAACTAAACCTCTGTTGGTAGAAAAAAACTTTCAGGGGTCTTCTTTGAAAAAAAAAAAAAACATTTTAGTTAATAGTTCTTCCATGGAAAATAACCTTTCGTAGAACTTCAATAGATTGAAAACCTTTCAGAGTTCTATAGATAGAAGACATTTCCAAGTTCTAAAGATAGAAGACAATAAGAAGAGTATACCAGACGGAAGGCATTTCAACTATTTTTATATAGATAGACAACCATTTACAGTTCTCTATGTAGAAGACCTTCTAGAGAGGTTTTGTGAAAACTAGACCTCTATGTATGAAAAATCTTTCATGGGTCTTCTTCGAAAAACATTTCCATAGATAGACGTCCATCTACAGTTTTTTAGACACAAAAAAGGTTTTAGGTTTTCTCCAAGAAAGACCTTATGTTAGTTCTTCTGTAAAAAAAATCTTTATTTTGAACGTTTTCAACAGATTGAAATCTTTCAGCCCTTTTTAAAGTGCTGAAGATGGAGGAAATTTAAACAAGCTTCCAGACGGAAGTCCTTTCAACAGGTCTTTTATAGATAAAATAGATTTTAGAATTATTTAGACATTCAAGGTCGTTGCTGGATAGAAAATCTTTCTTAATGGCTTTTTAGAATAGGATAACTTTAACCAGGTCTTATCTGGATAGAAAAACCATTCAAGGGATCGAAAAAGAAGGAAACATCTTTCAAAGTAGCCTCCATAAATGAAAAGCTTATCAAACCGGGCTTATAAGTAGGAACTCTAACTAATCTTCTAGAGATTTGAGAACTCAAGGTTCTTCTGTGTAGCAAAAGACATTGTTAGAAATCCATTTAAAAAATTTTGTAAGAATTCAATGGGCTTTTAAGAGATACTCTGCAGATAAACATATCAAGACAAAAAATGTTTAAACACAACTTCTATTTTTAATATTTGTTTTTAAGGAGCCACAGAGGCACAAAATTGGTTATTTAATAAATATTTTTAAAAGGATCCATCTAAAAATATTTGTTTATAATTTTTAAGGACCAATGGAAAACCTCACTTCAATTTTTAAAAAATATTTGGAAGAAAGGGACATTTAGGAATTTTTTATGAAAATATTTTCATTTTCCCGTGGATTTTTAAGGAATGTTTTTCGAGAGCCAGAGAGCCACAATCGTGAATTTTTTAAATAATATTTCTTCAAGGACCTACAGAGTCATAAACGTGAAGATATTTGTAAGGGTTCACACAGTTACTGGTACGGATATCTGAAGAAAATTTCTTTAAGGGCCCACAAAGCCACAAAGTTGGATTTATAATAAATATTTTTAAGAGGATCCATCCAAAAATAATTGTTTATAATTTTTAAGGACCAACTGAGCACCACATTTGGATTTTTAGTTAAATATTGAAACTGCAGAAAAAAAATTATGGATTTTTTAACAAAATGTTTTCACTTTCCTGTGGATTTTAATTGAATAGTTTTCATGGCACAACAGAGCCACAAAATGAATTTTTTAAGCAAAATTTTTCAAGGACATAATTTGTAGACCGTACTTCTTAAAGAACAACTAAGCCACAAACATGGATTTTTAATAAATATTGTTAAAATACACTCAGAGCCACAAATGTGGAAATTCTAGGAAATAGAATCTTCCAAAGAAAAGAACATTTTTAAAGTGTCTTCTATGAATTAAATACTATTTAAAATGCCTGTAATAGATAGGATAGAAGTCCTGTTGTAGATAGAAGTCCTCCAGTCCAGTGAAACTCCATTTACTTCATCTTATTCTCTCAACTTACCAACTTATTCAGTTCTGGCAATTTATCAACTATAGCTTTGGCTTTATCTGGATCTTCGGTATTTACACATTCATCGTACAGTTCATCGGGTATAAGGGGATCGTACAATTCGCGATACCACAGCTTCAATAGACTAGCAGGGGCATGAGCATCAACTGATGAGATAAAGAAAACAATGAACCATTATGGAATAGGATAATGATCTTATAAGAGGCAAAATACATACCCATAGTATTTTTATAATCAGGAACTTCCCACCGATCTAAACGATTCTTCAAGCAATTGACTTCATCCACATCGGCTGATACACGGAAAATACCTTCCGTTTGTTTGCCATTGAGCAGGAGGACCTAGAAAGAGGGATAAAGAGGTATTTTAAATATGCAGAGAGATGAAAAAAAAATAGCAAATATTAATAAGGTTAAATGTGAGTTATGTTAAAACTAATTATTGGCCATGAAGCCCTCGGTTTTATTTAATAAATAAATAGATGGAAATTTTCACACTTCGTGGGGGAGGTACCAGAAGAAGTGGTCCGATCTCTACAATCTTTATAAAAGATGTTATGTTGATAGAAATTTTGAGATTTGCCAAATCTGAATGGAATCTAATGTTAATTTTGCGTTTTATCAGCTTCGTGGATATTCAAAATTTGAACCCTTTGTGGGGGAGGTACCAGGAGTGGACCGATATATCCCATCTTCACAACAGATCTTGTGTTAGTAGAAATAATGGGATGTATGAAATATGAAGAGAACCGAATGCTTATTTCGGATTTTATAATCGTTTTGGTTATTCAAAACTTTGACCCTTTGTGGGGGAAGTACCTGAAGGAATGGTCCGATCTCTATCATATTTATAACAGATCTTGTGTTTATGGAAATACTAAGATGTGCCAAGACTGAATGGAATCGGTTGTTAATTTCATGTGTTATGAGCTTTATGATTTTTCAAAATTTTGACCCTTTTGTGGGGGAGATACCAGAAAAAGTGGACCGATATAATCCATCTTAACACCAGATATTGGATTAATAAAAATATTGGAATGTGTAAAAATTGAAGACAACCGGACTCTCACATCACATTTTTTAAGACTTACAACTATTTAAAATATTGACCCTTTGTGGGGAAGGTACTTAATGGGGTGGATCGATATTATCCATTTTCGCACCTGACGTAGCACTTACGCAAATATTAGGATATGCAAAGTTGGAGCAATATCGGATTATCGTTTCTCTTTCTGTGCAGAAAAATTTGAAAATTTCGACCTTTTGTTGGGGAGTTACCAGAAGGAGTGGACTGGTATTGCCCATCTCCGAACTCGATATAAGTTTGACAAAAATATTACGATGTACCAAGTATGGACCAAATCGGATACTCCCTTCGAGAGTTATATAGCGTACCAGCCAGCCAGACAGACAGACGGACGGACGGCCATCGCTAAATCGACTCCAAATGTCCTTAAACGGATTTGGTCCATAGAGACCTATGGTCGAAAACCGTTATTTCGGCGGCACGTTTTGGCCGTATCAAATGATATATACCCTCTGTAGCCATATGCCTGAGGGTATAAAAATTTAAAAATGATGGCGTTTGACTTTGTTGCAGTTTTTTAATCTCACCCTGTATGGCTGAGGGTATAAAAATAAATAAGAAGTATGTATGAAGCTAGAACACAACTAGGTTGTATCTCCCTGAAATTAACTTACATGCTCCGACAATGTGGTCTGTATCCATGGCAATTTACGGAATGGAAATTTGTCCTTTTGCAGCAGCATTACCTCCTCCAGGGTATTACCGAACATACTATTGCGTAAAATTTGATTCTGCAAAAGATAATAACCACAAAAAATGTAAATTCATATCCCATTCGTTACAAGAACTAAACTATGTCAAGCATGCTTACTCTAGCCTGTTCCACTTCATCTTCGGTTGGCTTTTTAGCTTGTCTTCTACCATGGCTACCAATACGATCTAAGCGTCTACAGCATACAGTGGCATAATGTGAGATTTGAACATGAATGGGCCATTTACCCACCTCCGGGAAGGAGGTGGCAAATGTGGGATCTCTATGACGATTGACATAACTAAAATAAGAGTGACACAAAAAAGCCGAATGAGTTAGAAAATGAAATGAGCGATTAATAGAAAAGGGCATTTACTTTAACAATGTTGGCTGGAATGTGGGCGATGGCGGTACAAAGGATAGGCATACGGCCATCAGTTCCCAGCCGCGTATCAATGAATCACGTTTGGGATTTTCAGTGGTCTGTCGGCATAACTGTACATATAATTCATCTCTTAATCTGAAAGGGGAAGGAAAGGGAGATGTTTTAATATAAATTGCATTATGATTTAAAATTTGAAACTCACTGTTGCTGCGGTAGGGCTATTGAAATAATATCAATCGCCACGGAATTTAGGCTCATCCCAGCCCTGGCCTTACGATCGCCCATATAGATCTGCACCAGCTTAAACATTTCAATTGCATTTTTCTTATCGTTTTTATCACGCGACAGGGCCAACATGGGCCGGCTAATGGCCTCAGCTGTCCAGCTTAGCATATCTCGTACGGAAGACTGGAAGGAAAAACAAAATAAATTCATTAAAAATCAAATAGATTAGGAGAAGCTATAGGATACTCGGAAAACGATAGACACAAAATGAATTCTAAAAGAATATTTTTTTCAAGGACCTACAATCTCAAACGTGGATATTTTATGAGGATTTTATGAAGGGCCTTCCAAGGCATAAATATGGATTTTTAGTCAATTTTTTAGGAATCAATGGAGTCGCATGTTTGAATTTTTAAATAATATTTTTTAAGGACCCAGAAAGCCACGAAGGATTCATAAAATCTTATTCTCATCATTTTACGACTAACAGAGCCACAATGGTGAATTTTAAAATAATATTTTTCCAAGGATCTACAGGCCATTAATCGTGAATTTTAATACAATATTTTTACAAGGACCAACAGGCCATCAAACATGGATTTTGAATTAACATTCTTCTAGGACCAGCGGGCCATCAAACGTGGTTCTTTAATATTTTTTTTTTTTCGGGGAACAAATGACCATCAAACATGGATTTTGTATAAATTTTCTACAAGGACCAAACTGGACATCAAACGAGGATTTTTAAATAACGTTTTTTTAGGAACAACTGACCATCAAACATGGATTTTGTAAAAATTTTTTTAAGGACCAAACAGGCCATCAAATGAGGATTTTTAAATAACATTTTTTTTTGAGGAACAACTGACCATTAATCATGGATTTTGAATGAAATTTCTTCAAGAACCAAACAGGCCATCCGACGAGGATTTTTAAATAACATTTTTTCGAGGAACAACTGACCACCAAACATGGATTTTGAATGAATATTTTTCAAGGATCAACAGATGGATTTTTTTAAACAATTTTTTATTGGATTTTGAATGAATTTTCTTCAAGGACCAAACAGGCCATCAAACGTGGATTTTTAAATAATATTTTTTCGAGGAACAACTGACCATCAAACATGGATTTTAAATGAATTTCCTTCAAGAACCCAACAAGCCATCAAACGTGGATTTTTAAATAAAACCGTAAAACAGGGATTTTGAATGAATATTCTTCAAGCATCAACAGAGCCTCAAAGGTGGATTTTTTAAACAATTTATTTATTGGATTTTTAAATAATATTATTTCAAGGAACAACTGACCATCAAACATGGATTTTAAATGGATTTTCTTCAAGGACCGACAGAGCCACTGGATTTTTTAAACAAGTTTTTTTAAAACGCAACCGACTATTATGTTTGGGTTTTGAATGAATATTTTTCAAGGATCAAGAGAGCCACAAGCGGGCATTTTCTTAACATTTTTATACATGACTATTATATGGCTTCAGAGGGTATATATCATTTGATGCTAGGTCTCTTTTGACCAAAAACGTTTCAGGACATTAGGAGTCGATCTAGCGATGTCCGTCTGTCTGGCTGGCTGATGAGTACGATAACTCTTAAAGGCAGCATCCGATTTGATCCAAACTTGGTACATCGTAATATTTTTTGTCAAACTTAGATCGAGTTCGGCGATGGGCAGTATCGGTCCACTCCTTCTGGTACCTCTCCCACAAAATATCAATATATTCCAAGAAAATACTGCGCAGAAAGAGAAAGGATAGTCTGATTTTGCTCCAACTTTGCAAATTCCAATATATGTATCAAGGCTACGTTAGGTGCGAAAATGGGATATATCGGTCCACTCCTTCTGGTACATCCCCCACAAAGGGCCAACATTTTGAATAATTACAACTCTTATAGAATGTGATGTAAGAGTCCGATTGTTTTCAAATTTCACACATCCCAATAATTTTATTAACCCAAGGTCTGGTGTTAAGATGAAATATATCGGTACCCTCCTTCTGGTACTTCCCCAAGAAAAGGTGGAAAATTGGAATATTCATGAAGCTCATAAAACGGGAAATGAACATCCGATTCCATTTAGACCTGGCACATCTGAATATTTCTATCAACACAGAAAGGCGATCGTGATCGGGCATTTCCTTCTGGTTCCTCCCCCACAAAGGGTCAAAGTTATGAATAACCAAAACGTTTATAAAATCCGAAATAAGCATTAGGCTCTCTTTGTTGTTGTTGTTGTTGTAGCAGTAGTACATGTGTGTGTTTGTGTTCTGCTAATCTGGTTCCAGCTCCAGGTTTAGAAATTCGGCTACTTTAACGGGCTGTAGCCAGAGATCCTCTGGAGTGAGTTGGGTAGGTTTGGCTGAGCAATTAAAAAGGTGTAGCGTATTGTGCGGGCCTGTATCACACGCCGGGCAGGCGTCACGCACATCTTCATCAATTCGTGCCCAATACGAATTGAGGCGACTACACCATCCTGAACGTAATTGCGCCAAAACTACCCTGGTTTGTCTAGGCAGCTGACGTTCTTCGGCTGCAATGGATGGGGGGTGGACTCCGAGGACGGCATTCACTTTATAACTGCTAATAGCATTCGCGACTGCATCGGTGTGAATGCCACTCAGACCTGCCTGATAGGCTTCTTGATCTGGAGGCTCTCTCTTGTAGCGCTGGACCTCCCTCTCTAGATCATGTATGTCCTTCCTGACACGCCTGGGTGGGGGAGAGTTATCCACCATGTGATGGTTGGGATGGCTCTCACGGTAACACCCAAGCAGGTACTGCAACGAAAGCATATGATTATGCTGACGTAAGGGAAGGACTTTCGCCTCCTCATGTAGATGGTCCACTGGTGTCATGAGGAGGCACCCTGTCGCAGTTCTCAGGGCAGCGTTCTGGCAGGTCTGGATATTCTTCCACTGCGTAGCACTAGTATTCGCAGACCACACTGGAGCCGCATAGTTGACCACAGACCGACCTATCGCGTTATAAGAGGTCAACAAGGTTTCTTTGTCCGCACCCCAAGATCTGCCGGCTAGCGCCTTGAGGACCTTGTTCCTACTTTTCATCTTGTCGCAGATAGCTGTGGCTTGCGCGGACGACTTGAACATGCTGTCGAACGTTACCCCAAGAATCTTGGGGTAGTTCGTGGTCGGTATTAAATTCCCCTCGACCTGAACATTCAGCTGTGTTCTCATCTCCGCAGACCATGTGGTAAAGAGTGTGGCCGTTGATTTCGTGGCGGATATTTTCATATTCCTCGCGTGGAAGTATGCGGCAAGCTCCGCGAGATAGGGGTTCAACCTTTCGCATATGTCATCGACCACTGGACCCGACGCCATGATCGTACAATCATCCGCATACGTTACGATCTCAATGCCGTCTGGAGGGCGAGGAATTCCGGAAAGGTAGAGGTTAAACAGTTCCGGAGATATCACCCCACCTTGGGGAACTCCCTGTTTCACTCTACGGGCTTTGGACTTCTTGTTCCGGAATTCCACGTACGACTGTCGTCCACACATATAGTTGATTATCCAACGTTTCAAACTTGGCCGGAGGGTAGTTCTCTGTACGTCCTCAAACAGTGTGGCATGATTGACCGTATCAAATGCCTTTGATAGGTCAAGGGCTACCAACACTGTTCTGTCACACGGCCTGTTCTGGTTTAGTCCTCTACTAATATGTGTGGAAATGGCGTGTAATGCTGTTGTGGTACTATGTTGTGGACGGAATCCATGCTGGTGGTTGGCAACTGCATAGCTTCCTCTAATGCTGGGGAGGAGTAATGCCTCAAGAGTCTTTGCTACTGGCGACAAAAGCGAAATCGGCCTGTACGATTCGCCTTTACTGGCATCCTTGCCTGGCTTCAGTAGCGGGACCACCCGGCCCATTTTCCAGGTTTCGGGCACTATGTGGGTGGCTAGCGACAAATTGAGAACTTTTGTTAAGTACTCGACTCCCGGCGTATCCAGCTGCTTCAACATTACCATTGAGATTCCGTCCGGGCCCAACGCTTTGGATGACTTAGCGTTACGGATGACATTTGCAACATCACCCATCGTAAACTGTGGTGGTTCCTCCTCGGCGGGAAGAGATCTGATACGACGTAGTACTCTTCGCTTCGCCCTATCACTCTCGGGGTGCTCGACAAATTGTCGGTTAAAATATTCCGCGCACCTCTTCGGATCAGTCACCGTTACGTCGTTAAAAGTGACTGAGGTCCTATCATCCTTTTTTCCAGGGTTCGAGAGCGACTTAACCGTTACCCACAGCTTACTCATATCGGTTCCAATGTTGCAGCACTTCAGATGGTCTAGCCACTTTTTCCTCTTATGCTCCTGTACCAACCGGTTGACTTCCACTGTCAAATCACTGATTCTAGGATCAGTAGGGTTGGTACGACGGAGATCATCACGCTCGTTTGCTAATCCCGCTGCCTCTGCTGGGAAGTTTGGTCTTATCTCGGGTATTCGACCAGCAGGTATATAGCGAGCGGCTGCAGCTCTGATGATGTTTCGGAAAATCCTTTCTGCTACCCGAACATCAGAAGGGTTGGGCAGTTCTCTGAAGCGGCGGTTGGTGAATTCTCTGAACTCTGGCCAGTGAGCTTTCCCATGGTTAAGGAAAGTGCGGCGTTCAGAGGTTATGAAATGTACATTAGGCTCTCTTTATATTTCACACATTCCATTATTTCTACTAACGCAAGATCTGATGTAAAGATGGGATATATCGGTCCTCTCCTTCTGGTACCTCCCCCACAATGGGTCGAAATTTTGAATATCCAAGGAACTCATTAAACGCGAAATTAACATCCGATTCCATTCAGACTTGGCACATCTCAATATTTCCATCCACATAAGATCTGATATAAAGATGGTAGAGATCGGACCGTTTCATATCTGCAAAACCCTTATATTTAAATAATCTGTCGACAGAACCGACTGATACTTTTTAACTTTAATTTTTAGACAACCAACAGATCCACAATCGTAGAATTTTAATGAACATTTTTAAGGACAAATAGAGCCACAAACGTGGATAATTTAAGATTTTTTTTTAAAGAATTAACAGATTTATAAAACTTAAAATATTTAGGAAAACATTTCAAGGAACCACAGGCCCACGAATTGAATTTTTAAAAATATTTTTTTAAGAAACAAAAGGGCTGCAAAACTTGGATTTTGTAAAAACAAATTTTCCAGGTCCAATCGGGTTTTAAACTTGAATATTTTCTCAAATACCAACAGGGTCTTAAACTTGATTATTTTTTAATCTCACCTTTTTGCGAAAAATACCCTTGGAGTGTAAATTCAAATTATCTGCTGCAAACTTTTCAATATCACATTCCTTCATGCACGCCAGCGTTGTTAGGCCTCCGCCGCCGCCGCCAATGCCCGGTGGCGGACGTTCCGTTGGTGGAAAGATTTGTTGTATTGTGGGCTTGAGATTTGGTGGTGGCAAGGGACGACGCATCATACTACCACCAACGCCTCCCATGCCGCCCATTATATTCGACACGCTGTCATCGCGACCATACTGATGTGGCGGTGGCATTGGCAGACGGCCGCCAATGCCAGTGCCACTGTCTTGGGAATTTTGAGCAATGCGAGATATTTGGCGATTTGGTGAGGGCAATGTTTGTGATTGTTTCGTTTTTTCACCGCTATCCAATTGCAAATGATGATGAGAGGCTGACGAGGAAGGATGACCGGGTGGTAGGGGTGGAGCATTTGAGTAGAGTTGTTGTGGTGGTAGTGTTGATTGTGCTGTTGTTGTTGTTGACTGCGATGAGGAGGAGTGTTGCTGTTGATGATGCGATTGTTGTTGTTGTTGCTGTTGATGATTGAGGGTAGATGGTGTATGTGTGGTGGCGGTATCATAATATGAGAATTGATAACGATTTGATTTGGATTTTTGTTCACCATTACCACCAATACCGGAACCCACACCTTCCAATACGGCCTCAACATTATCGGAGCTGTTTTGCAAAACAAAAACAGATTCAATTATTTAACGGCTGTCTTTTCTTTTTTTGGGGGGTCTACTTACATTTCCTCTCTAGCTGCTGGATCATATGGAGGATATTGATAAGCATAATATGATACACTATCGCCCATATTAGCATAGTCTTCTATCATACCATAATTGTGCTCCAAATAACCACCATGCGTATCCGAACCACCATCGGAATCTTCATTGTCTGGTTCATGGCCAGACAATGACTGTTCCGATTGACTGTCCGAATGATAGGAATCCGAATCGATGGGATCACCGAATACATAACGTCCCGATAGTTTGGCCTGTTCGAGAATGTAGTGTTTTAAAGGCAGTAAATGTTCCTGCATTTCCTGTATGGGGAGAAAAGAATATTATAATCGTTAAAATTTCTAAGGATATTTTTTTTTTCAAAACCTACCGTATCCCAGTTACTGTACAACGGAGAAATGTTACCATTATCATATTCCACATCACTGTTGTCCGCATGCAAGTGATTGTGTCTTTCTTTGGCTTTACGGGTATCACGTTTATTATCCTGATGATAATAATCATTAGAATGTCTTGAGTGTTTGTCCTGCAAAAGGAGGAATTTTAAATTAGTGACAAGCAGAATGTAGAGACAATAGCAGATCTCTGGGCAATTGACTTATTTGACTCTTGGAGTAGCAGATTCAACATTAAAGATTTTCTGAAGATTTAAAAAATATATTTTTTAGGAACCAAAGGAGCGGCAACATCGATTTTTATGGAACAATTGACCCTCGAATATAAATATTTTAAGAATATTTTTCCAAGGAACAACAGGATCTCAAATGTGAATTTTTGAAAAATATTTTGACAAAGACTAACATACGATCCAACATAAATATTTTCAAGGAATAACAGAGGAAAAAATTGGTTTTTTGAGAAAGGTCCAAAAGACCATCAAATGTGGATTTTTGAAAAATATTTTTTTGACGACCAACAAATCATAGACTTTTTATTTTTGTAGATTTTTAAGAAAGACCATCAAATGTGGATTTTTGAAAAATATTATCTCGAGGACCAAAACAATATAAACTTTTTATTTTTGTAGATTTTTTAAAATTTTTTTCAAGGACCATCCAAATTGGATTTTTTAACAATATTTTTTCAAAAAACCACCAAGCCTCAAACATGGTTTTTAATAACATTTTGGAAGTACCAACAGAGCAGCATCCAACGTGGATTTTTTAGGAATATTTTTTTAAACAAAAATACCATTAAATGTGGATATTTGAAGAATATTTTTTCAAGGACCAACCGAGCTTCAGTCTTGATTTTTTAGGAATATTTTTTTTAGGACCATCAGACCACCCAACAAAGATTTTTAAAGAAAAGTTTTGCAGGGTCCATCCAAGCCATAAACGTGGATTTAAAAAAAAAATTGAAGGGCCCACATGCCATCAAATGAGTATATTTAAAATAGTTTGTTAAGGACCAACAGTGAATTTTTAAAGAATATTTTTTGAAGGACCAACAGGCCATCGATTTGGGTTTTTGAAGAATATTTTTTCAAAACCAACAGATTATCAAACGTGGTTTATTTAAGAACATTTTTAATGGATCAACAGACGATCAAATGGGAATTTTTGGATAATCAAGAACCAACGTATATTATTTAAAAATATTTTTCGATGGGTCAACATATGATCAAATATGGATTTTTGGATATTTTTCCAAGGTCAACAGACCACCCAACCTGAACTTGTTAAGAATAATTTTGGAAGTAACAATAGAGCCTCAAGCTTGGATTTTTTAAGAATACCGAGTCACAAACAATATTCCACACACCAACCATGGATTTTTTGAGACTATTTTTCGAGAACTAAAACACCCTGAAAGAGGATTTTAAGGGTATCTCTTGAAGAACCAACAAGGCCTAAAACTTTGATTCTTTTATGTATGTTGTTAAATGACAAACCGAGACTCCACCCTGGATTTTTAAGAAGAATCAATTAGGCCTTGAAATTGGATTTTGAGGACCCATCAAGCCTCAAATAAGAGAAAGAGGGCTTTTAATAAAATTTCTTGAAGAGCCAAAAATACATCAAACTTGGATTCCTTAAATTATTAAAGGGTCTAATCAACCCTCAAACGTGGATTTTTTAAAAATATCCGAGCCTTAAACTGGGTTTTTAACAATATTTTTTTCAGGAGCCATAGAAAGAACTAACTGAACTTCAAAGGTTTTACGAAGGACCAACCGATCCGATGTGTATTTTTAGGAAGGTTAAGGTTAAAAAGTTTTAAGAAGTAGTTAAGAACTTTATATTAAAGAATATTTTTCAAGAGTCATTAAAAGAACCAACCGAGCCACAAACATGGATATTTGAAAAAGGCTCAATCATGTCTCAAACCTGAATTTTTAAGAAAATTTCTTCAAGAGCTATAAGAAGGACCAACTGAGCCACAAACTTGGATCAATCATGTCTCAAACGTGAATTTTGAAGGATATGTCTTCAAGAGCTATAAGGAGGACCAACTGAGCTCAAACGTGGATCCTCAAGAAGGACCAACCAACGTCGTTTCAAACCTCTATTTCTAGGAGGTCTAAATAGTATATTTTTTCAAGTGCCATAAGAAGGACAAAACCGAGCCAAAAGCGTAATTTTTTAAGAAGCACTTGGTGATATTTAATCTAGGATTTTTAGGAAAACAATTTTCAAGAATCAGAAGAATGGCCATCCGAGCCACAGAAGGGTATTTTTGAATGGACTAAATGAGTTTCGTTTGTTTAGGATATATTTTGAAACACCAAACAAGTCTCAAACTTGGATCTTTTAAGAATATTTTACCAAGGACCAAACGTGCTACAAAACGCGGAAATTTTAAAAATATTTTACGGAGGTCAAAGGGAGTGCCAAACTTGGACGTTTTTTTTTATAGTTTTTGAACGTTCAACCGCGCCACAAATGCGGAATATTGACGAGAGTTTTGAGGTTAGATTTATAATTTTAAGAATACATTTTAAATTATAAATTATGTCAGAAACCTAGATTTTTTTTAAATATCCAGAGAGCCACAAACTTTTTTGTTTTGAGAATATTTTTAAAGCCCTTCGGGTTTTTTTTCAAAATATATTTTATAAGCCATAAATTTAGATATTTTTCACAAATATGGATTTTTAAAGAAGGGCCAAGCAAACCTCAAACCTGGAATTTTAAAAATATTTTTTGGGGACCAAACATGTCACAAAGGTAGTATAGACATCAAATAATATTTTTCGAAGGATATTCGTGGGTTATTAAAAATAGCAAAAAATAGAGATATTTCTTCACAGACCAAACGATTCAAAATTGTTGATTTTGTTTTTTGTTGATAGTGTTATTCGTGGGTTTTTAAATAAGATCAACAGAGATTTTTAAGAATATTTGCAAAGGGCATTCGTGGGATTCTAGAAATATTTTTTGTAAGACCAACCAAACATGGGGTTTAAAGAGTTTGTTTGGAAAGCTTAACGAGCAGAATTTTTATATTAATCGATGGATAGATGGATGGGTTTATGAGAAGATTTTTAACGAGCCGCAAAAATATGTTGATAATATTTTAAAGGGCTAACAGGTCGGTAAACTTGTACATTTTAAAATATTTTACAAAACATGTAGAGAGAACCAACCAAACACAAAAATTCTTCAAAGACCTAACGAGTCACAAATTTGGATCTTGAAGAATATTTTTCGAAGGCTGTTCGTGAACAAATTTGAACATTTAAAAATACTTTTAAGGTTCTTCAGATATGCATTATAGGCTTTCCTAAACTAGTTTTGAAAAATATCCGAAAAGAAGCGTTCTTTTTTACAAATATTTGAAGGTGTTAGGTTTAACTTTACGAAAATGAAATAATTGAATTGTCGAACATTTTATTTTTTTTTTTCAAAATTCGAGAACTATCACATTGCTTTAAAAGGAAATCTGATAGTTCTCGGATTAAAAAAAAAAAATTAAAAAGGAAAATTTCCTTTGCACCTACCAAACTCATGGAATTATGACGATTAGCACCACGATGATTATCCTGATGCTGCGACCATGAACCGGTATTCGAGGCGGTTTTATGTTTACCCCTCGAATCATTCGAACCCCTCGACGAGTGGGTCATCATGCCGATATTATCCGAGGAGGGGAAATTTTTCGAGGTCATATTATTCGAGGAAACATGTCCGGTTATGTCGCTCAAATGTGGCGATGTTGTCTTGTTCGAGCTGCCGCCACCACCTTCTCGCAACGAGAGACGATCTAAATTCAGCAGTTCCAAACTGCATGAAGAATCCTGTTTGTAGTGGGCATGACTAGATGATGTGGTTGGTGGTGGCCCCGAACACGTTGAATGGCCACCGGGTGAATGTAGCATGGGTGCTGCTGCCATAATATTACTGCCAACCTTTAGGGGTTTGTTCTTGTTGTTGTGAGGACTAATGGGACTTTGGGGCGATGAATCACTAGAATGTTTCATATTGCTGCCAGCACTACCGCCAGTGCCATGACCACTGCTGGCACTGGCCGCACCACTGGAACTTTTATTGGTGGTAGTGTGGCGACGGCGTGAGAGTGGCGTATTTTCCACAGATTTGAAATATTTTTCATGCATGGAATCATCACTGGCCGCTCCTCCATTGCCAGCATTACCACCACCACCAGCACTTGGGCCTGCAACAACTGGTGACACACCCATGTGGGGTGATGTGCCATTAGCCTCGGCAGCCGAACGGCGATATGATTTACTGTGATGGCCAGCGGCCGAGGGATTAATGGATGAGGACATGAAGCTGCCCGATCTGGCCAAAGCCACCTTGTAGTCACGTTCACGTTCTGAAAAGGGGAAGGGAAATTGTTTAGACTTTGAAAGTAGGATTTCGGGAAACCTTGACTTCATCTTACCACTTCCTCCGTATTCCATGGCCCGAGTTGAGGATGATTTGCTGGTGATACTACCCGTATTGCTGCCACCTCCACCACCACGTTGTTGTGAATTAAATGACAACGGCGATGAGGGATACTGCTGCTGTTGCAAATGATGAGCATCCGGTGAGATTTTCTTTTTATTTTGTGCCACTCCGGCCGCCGATGAACTGCTGCTATGCATTGTTGGTGAACCCATTTCATTTGATCGACTGCTGTGGTGGTATTGTTGCTGACGCTGTTGAGCACTGCTACCGATATGGGGTATATTATGCGAGCTCATGCTCTCTTGCAACATATCGAAACTAGAACAGTAATAAATGAAAACAAGGGGGAAGGAATTAGTCGGAGATTATATTTATTGTTTGGCATACTTACCTTCCGCTACCCTCCTTGCGGCTACGATGCTTTTGCAGTGAACCAATGCGTAGACTTTCGCTTGGACTAGCCATACCTGCTGGACTGCCACCACCGCCGGTCATTTGGTCGTCATTGAATCGTCGATAGCCATGCATGCTTGACTGCATGCTGGAGAGACTAGAATCACTCGATTTGCCAGATTCTTTGAAATGGTTATAGGAGTCTGGAAGAAGAAATGTGGGAAAGGGGGGAGATTAAAAATATGACTATTGGAGATTTGAAATTAATATTTTAAAAAAATCATACTTTTTTTGGAATAATATTTGGGGACAAATTAGTCCCGATTGCAGGATAAAATATTTATATTTGAAAATAATTTTCTCTTGGGATAAAATATCCTCATCTTTGGATAATTTATCCAAAACTGTGGCTAAATCATCCCATGGCTTTTTGAAGTGGAATATTTGTTTTTTTTTTTATTATTGCCAAACAAAAAAACAAGAATTCAGCCGGCACCCAAAAAGAAAAATTGATTCCCCTGAATATTTAGCATCTTCAAAGAAATTTGCACACCAGCACAATTTGCCGGGCGCAACAAACAAACATGCATACATTCATACTCCCATACATGTATGTATATCTCAACTGGAAGATGCCGGCTGGCCAACTACTCAATCCGATACATACCTTGTGAACGTCTTGATGATGTCGAAATGTGTTGAATATCCATGGAACGTGATGAATCACCCGTACCAACGCTGGAACATGAAAGAAAGAAAGATGAAACAACAACAACAACAATATAACGAAGGCAAATACAAAAACAATTAATAATAAACAAATGAAAATTGAAAAGATATCGAGATCAATTTGCAATACAAATAAAAGAAAAATATTTTTAATGAACAAACAAATTGAAATGGTCGGTGGTGGTGAAATCCATAAAAATTTTCTATTTATGGTCAATTCTAATGAGGGTAATTTACATAGCGTATATACATATATATAGACCATTAACAATAAATACATGATTTATGAAAAAACTTTTGGTTTTTCTTTCAAAGAAATCTTAAAAAAATCCCCCTTTTCAATATTCTTTGTTAAAAAAAATATTTTTAAAAAATCCCCCAATCAATAATCCTTTTCGAAAATAATGTCAAATAGATGTAAATATTTACTAATTCATGAATAATATGTATTGAAAAAATAAATTATTATTATTTTTTTTTTTTTGAAAAATATACAAGTTTCGATTTTCAAAAAAAAAAATAAATAAAACATTAAATATCCAAACGTAGATTTTTATACCCTCAAACATAGGGCTACAGAGGTTATATATTATTTGATGCGACCAAAACGTGTCTCATCGATATAACGGTTTTGGAACCTGAGTCTATTTGGACAAAATCCGTTCCCGGACATTTTATGTCCGTCTGGTTGGTAAACACAATAACTTTCGAAAGGAGCGCCCGATTTCGTCCAACCTTGGCACATTGTAATATTTTTGTCAAACTTAGACTGAGGGATGTACTTCTTCGAGTACATCCCCCACAAAAGTCGAAATTTCAAAAAAGAAGATGGGAAATATCAGTTGTGAAGATGGGATATATTGGTCTATTTCTTCTAGCAACTCTCCCACAAAGGGTAAAAATTTTGAATATCCATGAAGGTCTTAAAAAGCGAAATAATAATCGAACATTGGTTGAGGGTATACAGGGTGAAATGAAAAAACTGCAACCAACTTCAGACTGCTGTCATTCCAAAGCCGCTCGTCCGACAGCTGTTAAAATTATTCCAGTGACAGCTCATTATATTGTTTACAAGCGTACAAAAGCATGTTGGTGAGAATTTTCCAGAAAAAAAGTTATTCGTGCCGGAATTTAAGCGTGATATTTGGGTGGAAAACCACAAGTGGCTATCGTTAGAGCACTCCATCATTTAAATGTAAATAAATCGTTTGTGTCTCGTACCATCCCTCGTTGCCGTGATACTGGTAGCGTAGCCCGACGTCAAGGAAGTGGACTGAAGAAAACAGCAACACCAGCAGAAATGGTTCGAAAAGTAAAGAAGCGACTTGATCGAAACCCGCGTCGCAGTGGCCGAAAAATGTCTCGTGAGCTGAATATATCGCATTATTTCATTCGGCAAATATAGAAAAATGAGCTCGGGGTAAAGCCATTGAAATTCCAAAAAGTGAAAGTTAGCTCAAAAGAGCTAACGAGTTGCTTCGCTTGGCCGAAAGTGCTGAACTGTCGAATTTGGTTTTCTCCGATGAAAAAACATTCGTTGTCCAGCAGTTTGTAAACAATCAAAATGATCTTGTTCACTTGCCGAAGAGGTCAGCTGAAAATGTGCACCTTCGGTTAGCCACCAAAACTCAAGCGCCGGCCATGATTATGGTGTGGACCGCCATAACAGCCGATGGTCGCTTTCCGCTCGTATTAATCGACCATGGCATCAGAATAAATGCCGAATATTATCGCGAAAATATTCTGGAGGGTGTATTTAAGCCTTGGGCATGCAAACCTTTTTGCCGCAGACCTTGGACATTCCAACAGGACTCAGCACCATCGAACTCAGCACGCGCCACCCAAGAATGATTACAAAATGAGGTTCCTCGCTTCATTTCCAGCGCACAATGGCCACCAAAATCTCCGGATACCAATCCGTTGGACTATTGTGTCCGGAGTATTTTGGAAAGCAAGGTTGGCACTAAAAAATACCAAAGTGTCGGTGGTCACCTGAAGCAAGCGCTTCGCCAGGAATGGGCCAAAATACCGCAGAGCAAGATTCGGACAAGGTGTGACGGTTTCATGGTCTTTTAAGGGCCATAATTTGTGCCAATGGTGACCAATTCGAATAAATCTAAATTTATTCTAAAATTTTATGGTATTTCCGACATGTAAAAATGTAAAAATTATGGCGTCTGACTTTGTTGCAGTTTTTTATCTCTCCCTGTACTTTGTGGGAAATTATTTTTTATTTTTAAATTTATATTATTTCGAGGTGTTACAAAAGGAATGACAAACCTTATATACCCTTCGTACTATGGTGGAGGGTATAAAAATTTCTCTGACAATCTGTTCTAGTTTTTTTTTAATAAATTTTTCTTGCGACTATTTGATTTTGGATTTTTTTCAAATATTTTCCTAAAATAATTTCTAAAATTTCGTATCGTTTCTTGACCTCTTAACCCAATTCCCAGGCGGCTTGTAATTTTTTTCTAATTGAATATTCCAAGTTTTAAATTCCCATGCTTTTGTCAGTTTTTTTTTAAACTACATAATTTGATTTCTTTATATTTTTAAACAAAAAGATAAGAGCGATTTTCTTCTGTAACATTTGACACCCACTGTCATTTGCATTGAGAGCAGCATCACTCCAAGTATTTCAAACATAAACAAACGACAAAAGCCAAAAAAGATACTTGAAAACAAAAACCCAGCAACAACAAAAAATAAATGACCAAACATAAATGTGAATAATAAACGATTGAGCGACTGTGGTCGGTCAGCCGCAAAACCAACTGCTGGTGGTTGGCATCTATCTAAGTATCTAATGACCACACAAATGGTGGGGGGAAGAGGGGGTACATACCGAAAACTTTGACGCCCACGTGGACTTGAGAGCAGCTCGCTGGAAAGTTTCTCCTCGGAGCTGGCATGCAATGGTAAACCGGCACTGCTGCGTTTATTCGTACCACCTCCTCCTCCTCCGCCGACGCCAACATCACGATTGCTCCCCGTACTGCCCGTGGTATTGGTATTGCTGTTGGGCGTTAAATGATGACTACTGCTGCTGGAGCCACGCTGAGATGCGGAACGGACTTTGGGCATGGAGGGTGATGAATGTTGCGATGAATGCTGTTGCTGCTGCTGATGATGCATTTGCTGCTGTTGCGTTTGTGTGCTAATCTCTCGCCGATCACTGGGATCGGTGTTCTGTTTGAGCGTTTGCAGTTTGGCCAGCGGTATGATGTCACATTTGCTCGGCCGGTGCCAGACCGTTTTCTGGGAGGCAGCATTGTAGTAATAGAAGCGTTGCGTATTTGTATCGAATAGTTCCCACCACTGTGATGAATCGGTGCGCTTAATTGGTACATCCTGGTGAGCCACAAAAATTGCGTGTGCAAACAACAGCCAAAAGATGAAATATGAAACGAGAAGGAGAGAAAGAGAGAGAGAGGGGGGGGTAAGAAAACAATAAAATATTTGAATTAAAAATAGAGCAATGATTAAAATGATCTGCAAAAACTAGCTGAATGAATGACTCGCCTAGCCGGCCGAAACATTTCTACAATGAATAATAGACAGGCGGACAGACAAACAGATTGCCAGCTGTCATTGAGGGCCAGAGTGGATCTGTTTGTCTGCCTGTCGGTGGTCACTGTATAAAATGTTGTGCGTTTTGCTGCTTGAATGAACAACAAATTGCGTTGAAGACCATAGTCATCATCATCATCGAAAATCATCGTCATTATTTTTATTGAGATCATCTCAAAATGTCAAAAGTATACAACAACAAACATTCTAAAAATTATAAATTTTAAACAATAAAAAAGCTTTAATCGCATTCATTTAAACTATTATTTTTCTCAACAAGAAACGTTGACTTTTCAAGAATATTTTTTCAGAAGATCAAACGTGGATTTTTATAATTTTTTTCAAGGACTAACTGAGCTGAAGAACGTAGATTCAAAAAAATATTTTTGGAAGGATTTTGGATTATTTACAATATTTTTCGAGGACCTTATTAACCGAAACCATGGGGTTTTAAGAACAAATAACGATACGACCAAGCGTAGATTTTTTAACAATATTTTTTCAAGGTCCAAATGTGGAATTTTTAAGAATATTTTTTTAAAGGTCCAAGAGTGGATTTTTTTTGAATATTTTTTCAATGGCCAAATGTGGATTTTTTAAGAATATTTTTTGGAGGTCCAAACGTGGATTTTTTAACAATTATTTTTCAAGGGCTAAACGTGGATTTTTTAAAATTATTTTTCAAGGTCGAAACGTGGATTTTTTAAAAATATTTTTTCGAGATCGAAACGTGGATTTTTTAATAATATTTTTTCAAGGACGAAACGTGGATTTTTTAACAATATTTTTCAAGGGCCAAACGTGGATTTTGAACAATATTTTTTCATGGTCCAAACGTGGATTTTTTAACAATATTTTTTCATGGTCCAAACGTGGATTTCTTAACAATATTTTTTCATGGTCCAAACGTGGATTTCTTAACAATATTTTTTCATGGTCCAAACGTGGATTTTTAAAAAATATTTTTTCAAGGTCCAAACGTGGATTTTTTAAAAATATTTTTTCAAGGTCCAAACGTGGATTTTTTAAAAATATTTTTTCAAGGCCCAGGCGTGGATTTTTTTGAGAATATTTTTTCAAGGTCCAAACTTGGATTTTTAAAAAATATTTTTTCAAGGTCCAAACTTGGATTTTTAAAAAATATTTTTTCAAGGTCCAAACGTGGATTTTTAAAAAATATTTTTTCAAGGTCCAAACGTGGATTTTTTAAAAATATTTTTTCAAGGCCCAGGCGTGGATTTTTTTGAGAATATTTTTTCAAGGTCCAAACTTGGATTTTTTTAAGAATATTTTTTCAAGGTCCAAACTTGGATTTTTTTAAGAATATTTTTCCAAGGTCCAAATGTGGATTATATAATATTTTTCAAGGTCCAAACGTAGAGTTTTTGAGAATATTTTTTCAAGGTCCAAACGTGGATTTTTTTGAGAATATTTTTTCAAGGTCCAAACGTGAATTTTTTAACAATATTTTTTCATGGTCCAAACGTGGAATTTTTAACAATATTTTTTCATGGTCCAAACGTGGATTTTTTAACAATATTTTTTCATGGATAAAATAAGCAACAGCCGTGGATTTTTTATAGATTTTTTTCAATATCCAAACGAGGATTTTTGAAGAAATGTTTTTTCAAGGTCCGAATTTTTTAAGATTATTTTTTCCAAACGTGGATTTTTTAACAATATTTTTTCAAGGATAAAATAAGCAACAGCCGTGGATTTTTTATAGATTTTTTTTCAAGATCCAAACGTGGATTTTTTTAAGAATATTTTTCAAGGTCCACACGTGGATTATTTTAAGAATATTTTTTAAGGTCCACGCGTGGATTTTTTTAAGAATATTTTTCAAGGTCCAGACTTGGATTTTTTTAAGAATATTTTTCAAGGTCCACACGTGGATTTTTTAAGAATATTTTTTCAATGATCTACAAACGTGGATTTTTTAGGAATATTTTTCAAGGTCCAAACGTGGAGTTGTTAAGAATATTTTTTCAATGATCAACAGACGTTGATTTTTTTATGAATATTTTTTCAATGATCAACAAACGTTGATTTTTTAAGAATATTTTTTCAATGATCAACAAACGTGGATTTTTTTAAGAATATTTATTCAATGATCAATAAACGTGGATTTTTTTAAAAATATTTTTTCAAGGCCCAGGCGTGGATTTTTTGAGAATATTTTTTCAAGGACGAAACGTGGATTTTTTACAAATATTTTTTCAAGGTCCAAACGTGGATTTTTTAAGAAACATTTTTCAATGAGCATCATACGTTGATTTTTTGAGAATATTTTTTTTCAAGGTCCAAACGTATATTTTTTCAAGGACCGAATTTTTTTCAAGGTCCAAACGTATATTTTTTCAAGGATCAAACATGCATTTTTTGAGAATATTTTTTTAAAGCTCGGATTTTTTAGGAATATTTTTTCAAGGTCCACACGTGGATTTTTTGAGAACATTTTTTCAAGGTCCACACGTGGATTTTTTGAGAACATTTTTTCAAAGTCCAAACGTGGATTTTTAAGAATATTTTTGATTTTTTAGAATGTATATACTCCATATTTTTGGTTCATAACGCCATACACATATTACACAAGTTTGTGAAATTTTCGACATTAGGATTTCAGACGTTTTATACAACAAAACCAAAACACATGATCATTCTAATCCGATACACATTGGATCATATCAATAGAATTCTATTTTAACCCAAATATGCCGGTATTATACGTTTTATACAGGTTTTTGACATTCACGACAACTAAATTTATAAATAAATTTATATTTTATTCATTGTAAACATTATATTGGGATTTGTGACATTATATACACATTATACAAGTTTTTGACATTTACGACATTCTCATTTTAAGCAGTTAAAAAAAGTGCACACACATCATCATTCTATTATCATACACATCATTTGAGACTAATTGCTATCTATTTTAACCAATAATGTGCCGGTTTTATACTTTTTATACATGTTTACGACATCCACGACAGTTGTATATTTTATAAAATTTACAGCTTTTAAAGTAATATTACAATTTTATAAGGTTTTGTGACGTTATGTACATATTATACCGGTTTGTGACATTCACGAAATTCCGCCTTTTAGAAGTTTTACAACAAAAACAAAACACATAATCATTCTAAATTTATAGACATCACTTGAGAACAACTGTGGATTTTTTAAGAATGACTTTTCTTTTTCAACTGGCATTTGTCGATTCTATACGTTTTATACAGGTTTATGACATTTAGGATATTACAATTGTACAGCTAAGACATTACCAAAACCTTCTATATTCTATATAATATATGATGAGGTCCATTACACTCGGTTTCCATTAGGCGTTCATCGATTTATATGTTTTATACAAGTTTGTGACATTTTTGACATTGCAATTTTACAAATAAAACATGACAAAAATCCTCTCTATTCCCTTTGATATATTCTGGGGCCCATTACACACGAATTTTATTGAGCGGAGACAGTTTTATACGTTTTAAACAGGTTTTTGACATTTACGACACTTAAATGTTTAGGTCGGAATTAAACCATAAATCATCATTCTAATTTTATAGGCATCATTTGATACCAACTTCACTCTGTTTTAAGCTATATTTGTCTGTTTTACACGTTTTCTACAGGTTTGTGACATTTACGACATTACAATTTTACAGATACAATATCAAAAAAAACTTATTTATAAAAAAGTATGCATATTGAGGCCCATAATACTCGATGTTTAATGTGCGGAAACAGTTTTATACGTTTTAAACAGGTTTTTGACACTTGCGCCATTTGATGTTTTGCATTTTTACAACAGAAATAAACTATAAATTATCATTTTAATTTTATAAACATCACTTAATAAAAACTTCGCGCTGTTTTAAGCAATATTTTCCTCTTTTATACGTTTTATACAGGGTTGTGACATTTACGACTTTGTATTTTTACAGCTATAATATAACAAAAAACCTTCTGAATTCAATATGATATATGTTCAGGTCCATTACACTCGATTTTCAATGAGCGGATAAAGCTTTATACGTTTTTGACATTTACGACATTTTGATGTTTTGCATTTTTACAACATAAATAGATCAGAAATCATCATTCTATTTTAATAGACATTATTTGATACCAACTCCACTTTGTTTAAAGGAATATTTGTCAGTTTTATACGTTTTATACAGGTTTTTGACATTTGCGACAGTATATTTTTTTTTTACCAAATTCATTGTTTTTTAGGTAACATAAACTTTATATTGAGATTTGTGATATTATATACATAATATACAGGTTTGTGACATTTACGACATTTTTACATTGACAGTTTTACAACAAAAACAAAACGTACATCTATATTTTAATTTTATAGGCATCATATGAGAAAAGTTGTAGTCTATTTTAAGTAATATTTGCGGCTTTATACAGGTTTATGACGTTTTATACATGTTTACGACAATTACATATTTTATTTTGTCATTGTTTTTATCACTACCATAAACATTATATAGGTGTTATTGATGTTTTTTATATCTTATAGAGGCATCTGACGTTTTTTACATATTATACAGGTTTTCGACATTTACGAAATTTGAATTTACCGCACTCTTTAAATTTTACAGACATCATTTTGGACCAACTGCAGTTGTTTTTAATCAATATATCTTGGTTTTATACGTTTTATACTTGTTTACGACATTTACGACAATGATACTTTCTATTAATTTTATACACATTTATTGTTTTTAAAGTACTATAAACATTATATTGCCGTATTTGAGGTTTTATACATATTATACAGGTTTGTGACATTTACGACATTTCCATTTTTACCAGTTTTACAACAAACATTTTTATACAGA